GTATGTGGCTGGCACCTTAGCTACTTGAGCCACAGGCGCCGAGCCTATGGAGCTTCTTTCCATGAAACAACTATACATAATCAAATTTATAAAAACCACCACCTTTCAAAGTCTCTGGAAATTATCCTAAGAACATACTAAAGATGGAGACATATTTATTTAAGAAAGTCCACTAAGTTTTGTTAAGGATGGTGACTCTGGCATTTAAGCCATAACCTGCTCTCTACCTTCCAGTTCAGTGGGATCAAAGTTCTAACCTGAGTATGGCCAAGAATGTGCATGCTTTCCCTCAGCCCACCAAATAGCTGGGACAATAGGCACAAGCCACCATGTCTGACCAATGTTATTTTACTTTTTGTACAGACAGGGTCTCCCGTGTTGCCCAGGTTGGTCTCGAGCTCTTGGCTTCAAGTGATCACCTTGCCTCAGCCTCCCAAAGTGCTGTGGTTACAAGCATGAGCCATTGTGACCAGACTAAAGAATCAATTAATTTAACCTATCACATTAATAAAATAGAGAACAATAACCACATGATTATCTCAATCTCAACAGATGCAGAAAAAGCACTTGATACAATTTACATTTTCCTGATTAAAAAAAAACAGACTCAACAAACTAGGAATAGGAGGGACCATCCTCAACCTGATAGAGAGCATCCACAAACAGACATATAGCCAACACCATATTTAACAGTGAAGGATAAAGTTCTCTCCCCCTAAAATCAGCAACAAGACAAGAATCCATTCTCACCACTTCTATTAAATATCAGACTAGAAGGTCTAGTCAGGAAAAACTGGGCAAGACAGTAAAATAAAATCGTTCATCGTGAAAAGAAAGAAGTAAAATCATCCCTATTTGCAAATGGTATGAGCTTGTATATAGAAAGTACTAAAGAATTTACCTATTAGAACTAATAAGTGATTTCAATAAGGTTATAGGGTGAATGATTAATGTACAAAAATCAATTGTATTTCTAACCATTAGCAATAGGCAATCCAAAATCAAAATTAAGAAAACAATCCCAATTTCAATGGCACCAAAAGGAATAAAATACTTAGGACTAAACTTAAGAAAGGAAATGCAAACCTCACATTCTGAAAACTGCGGATTTTGTTGGGAAAGACATTCAAGAAGACAAATAAATGGAAAGCATTCCATATATGGATTAGAAAAGATAATATGGTTAAGATGGCAGTACTCCCCAAGTTGAGCTACAGAGTCAATGTAATTCTTAATTCCAGCTGCTTTTTTTTTTTTTTTGCAGAAATTGAAAAGTTTATCTCAAAAGATATAAGATAGCTAAAACCATCCTAGAAAAAAAAAAAGCCATAAAGTTGGAGGACTCCAATTCTGAATTTCAAAACTTACAACAAGTTAGAATAATACAAATAGACATACCACATATAATAAAAATTTATCAATCGCTATAGGGCAGATCACTAAAGAAAATACACTAAGACACTGCATTACAACCAAAGTCTTCAAACTCCTTGTCCTAAATGGCTTTAACAAAATGCTTACATTTTGTATAATAAATTGCTCCAAGTCTGCCACTAAAACC